CCCTCCTCCAATGGTTGGGAGCGCTGGTCCCGCCCGCCTGGGCCGCAACCTCCCCGGCGCTGCGGCGGCGGTGCAGGCCACGGCTGCACCGGCGCGCCCCGCTGCCGTACGCACGCGCGCGGCCGCGCGTGGAAACGCTGCGGCGCCAGGGGGGCAGGCGGGAGGCCCCTCCGTCCCCCTTCCATCCCTCCTCCTCCTCCTCCTCCTCCGCCAGCCTCCTCCTCCTCCTCCTCCTCCTCCTCATCCTCCTCACATCCTCATCATCATCATCTCATCCATCCTCCTCCCTCCTCCTCCCTCCTCATCCCTCCTCCTCCCTCCTCCTCCCTCATCCTCTCCCATTATGTCTCCTCCTCCAGCTCCTTTTTGCTCATTTACTTTCCTCCTACTACTCATCCTCCTCCTCCTCCTCCCCTCCTCCTCCTCCTCCTCCTCCTCCTCGTCTTCCCTCCTCCTCGCTGCTCCGTCCGCTGCGCACAGCCATCTCACGGCAACCCCGCTCCACCAACACGCTGGACCTCGCGTTCGCGCGCGCGCGCGCGCTCGAGGGCCTCCACCGCGGCGGTCCCCCTTACACGCCGGCGGCGGTAGCTTCTGTTGTGAGTACTCCTCCTCCTCCACCTCCTCCTCCTTGATCTTCGCCACAGGTGGGGCCATGAGGGAGAGCGGCGATGAGGAAGGATGACGAGGGATGAGGATCGAGTCAGAGGCATGAGGAGGTAAAGGGAAGTGCGAAGAGGAGGAGGAGGAGAAAAAATAAAGAAACGATGATGAGGGAAAACGTGAAGGCGGGATGCTCCTCCCTCCCTCCCTCCCTCCTCCAACTCCTTCTTCCTGCCCGTTGCTCCACAACATCATCCTTCTGAGGCTCCTCCTCCTCCTCATCCTCGTCCATCGTCCTCCTCGACGTTGCACCCTCATCCCTCAACATCGCTCCTCCTCCTCCTCCTCCTCCTCCGCCTCCTGCTTGGAACCTCGAGCCTGAGGCGATGGCTGGCGCCATGCCCCATTCTTCTTATCTTCCTTCTCCCCCTGCTCCTCCTCCTGCTCCTCCTCCTCTTCCTCCTCCTCATCATCCTACTCCTCTCCCTCCTCCTCCTCCTCCTCCTCATCATCATGATCATGATCATCATCATCATCATCATCATCATCATCATCATCATCATCATCACCACCATCATCATCATCACCATCATCGTCATCATCATCAGCATCATCATCCGCATCATCAGCATCATCATCATGATCATCATCAACATCGTCAACATCATCAGCATCACCATCATCATCATCGTCATCCTCAGCAGCAGCAAAAGCGTCAGCATCAGCATCAGCATCTTCATAACCACCATGACTACCATTATCATCACCAGCAACATCACCATCTCAATCGTTATCATCGCCATCATGATATATCATCATCATCTTCATCACCAGCATCAGCATCATCATCATATTCATCATCACCGTCATGAGCAGCAACAGCAGCATCAGTATAAGCGTCCGCATCAGCATCACCATCACCACCATCATCATCATCACCATCACTAACATCATCATCCTCATAATCATCATCATCGTCATCGTCATCGTCATCGTCGTCAGCGTCATCATCGCCACCGCCACATCATCCTCATCATCCACATCGGCATCATCATCTTCATCGTCGTCATCATCACCATCTGCAACATCATCATCATCACTATCATCAGTATCGCCGTCCTCATCATCATCACCACCATCGCCATCATCGGAATCATCCTGATGATCATCAGCGTTAGCATCATCACCACCAGCATCATAATCATCATCATCTTCATCATCATGAGCTTGATCATCATCGTCATCATCATCATCATCATCATCATCATCATCATCATCATCGTCGTTATCGTCATCATCATCATCACCATCAGCATGTTCATCATCAATATCATCATCCGCAGCATCCTCATCCCCATCCTCATCTTCATCATCAGCAGCAGAGTCCTGCCTCGTTCTTTCATCGTCTCCTTGTCCTACTCATCATCATGATTATCATCAGCAGCATCAGCATCAGCAGAAGCATCATCACCATCATCATCATCACCATCACCCTCAACATCATCATCATCATCAGCATCATCATCATCATCAGCATGATCAGCCCCATCATCATCATCATCACCATCATCATCACCATCATTATCATCATCATAATCATCATCACCATCATCATCATCGACATCAGCATCATGTTCGTCATCACAATCACCATATACATCATCATCACCAGCGTCATCATGCTCATCATCATCATCCGCATCATCATCGTCATCCCTCGTCCTTCCATATTCTTCTCTGCTCCCCATGCTCCTCCTCCTCCTGCTCGTCCTCTTCTTCCCTTTTCCTCCTCCTCCTCCTCCTCGTCAATCTTACATCCTCCTCCTCCTCCGAGGGGGAAGTGGACAGGGAGGATAAGGAGGCGGAGGAGGAGGGCTGGTTGAGTGAGCAGGAGGCAGGCAGGGGGGTGGAGAGGCAAGGTGTCAACAGGCCGAGGGGGCAGCAGCAGCAGCAGCAGCAGCAGCAGCAGCAGCGGGAGCGGCAGCAGCAGCAGCAGCGGGAGCGGCAGCAGGGGCAGGAGGAGGAGGCGGAGGAGGAGGAGGAGGAGGGCGAAGACCGGCAGCGGGAGCAGCAGACGCCAGAGGTGCATGAGCGGGAGCGGGAGCGGGAGCAGCAGCAGCAGCAGCACGAGCAGGATGGGGTCGGGAACGAGGACGCGGCGGAGGGACCGCAGGACCAGGAGGCGGTTGGAGGAGGGGAGAAGAGGAGGAGCTTGCGGAGAAGAGCGACGAGCGGACTGACATCGGAGGAGGGCCGTCGCTGGTGGTGTTCGTCCTCTCTGGGGCCTCCTGGGGGCTTCTCGTAGCCACGGCTGGATCCGCCTCGAAGAGAGGTTCAGGATGGACCCCTGCAGGGGTCTGGGGACAGATTCTGAGCGGAGTCGGGCTGGGCGGGAAAGCCGCCGTTGCCTCGACTGGCGCTCTCACGGGTGGGATGATGCCTTCTGCGCTCTCGCGCCTGGGCGCACCTTCTGGGACACCTCTGGCGACCAGGCTCTCTCTCGGGACGCTGGCTCTCCAGAGCTCTTTAGACCCCCGTTCGCGTGGCTGGCCTCTTCGTCCCAAAATCGTTCCGGTGGACGGTCCCCGTGTCCTCACGCTGACAAGGGGGAGCGCCCCCTGGCGTGGTGTTCTCGAGTCGCCAGAGAGGTCTGGGCTCACCGCGCGCGGCCGCGAATGCTGCGTCCCTCTGCCCTCTGCCCCCAAGGGGCCTGATGTGCCAAGTGCCCTCGACCCACCCCTGAGTGCGTCGTCCTGGTTGTCGCCACGTCCCCGCGCTCCACGTCGCCGTCGCTGTCGTGGTCGTGGTCATGGTCGTCATCGAGTCAGCCTCCTCCGCCTGGATCACGCCCAGCACTACACCGCGAAACGATCCCCTCCATGCGAGAGGGAGGAAGAGGAGAAGAAGGAGGAGGAAGAGGAGAAGGAGATGGAGGAGGAGGAGGAGGAGAAGGAGGAGGAGGAGGAGGAGGAGGAGGGGAATAAAGGAGGGGGGAATGAGGAGGTGGAGGAGGAGGAGGAGGAGGAGGAGGAGGAGGAGCAGGACCAGGAGCAGGAGGAGGAGAAGGAGGAGGAGGGGAGGAGGAGGAGGAAAGGGAACCCCGGCCATCCCTGCCCCAGCGAGCCACGCCCCAGGCGCCCTCCTCCAGCCGGCTTGCTGATATTCCGCTCTCCTTCTCCAGCTCCTCTCACAGGAATCCCCGAGAATCTCGGAGGGACCGCCGAGCACTGCCGAAAGCTCCCTCCTGCCTCTTCCCGCGCTTCGTCCTCGTCGTCCTCCTCCTCCTCCTTCTCCTTCTCCTCCTCCTCCTCCTCCTCCTCCTCCTCCTCCTCCTCATCATCATCATCATCATCATCAGCCCCCGTCTCCGGAAACCTCGGGACACGCAAAGAAGAAGTCGCCGATGGTCCCTGGGAGCACCGCGGAGCCCCCCCGAAAAGCCAAGCTTAAAGATCGTTTCTGCTGAAACGAACGTTTCTGCTCCTACTCCTGCTTTTCCCCCTCCTCCTCATCCTGCTCCTCCTCCTCCTCCTGCTCCTCCTCCTCCTCCTCGTCCTCCTCCTCCCTCCATCCCCACTCCTTCATCCCCTGATTGCAGCATCGCCAATGCGACGTCGCGGAAATATTGCAACATCGCACAACAAAAAACACGAATGCAGCTCTGGGCCACGTCTTTTTCTGAATTCTGGAGGTGGAAGGGTCTGTGAAGATCTTGGGGACCAAAACAGGGCGAAAACGCCGGGTGCGAAAACGCCAGGTGTGAACAAATCCGCCCCGTGTGCTGCCGACGACCGCCATCTTGGAGCTGTCGAGCTGCGCCGTCAGCACCTGGTTTGACCCCAGCAGGTGCTTCTTATCGGCCTGGGGTCGGGCTCACGGGCGGCACGAAGATGGGAGGGAGGAGGATTCTACGTTCTTGGTTGGCCTCGCGCGCGCCCGCGAAGGGCCCCGAGGTCCAGGAAAGAGACAAGCCACGGACGACGATGACGACGACGACAAACGACGACGGCGAGGACAGCAAACGACACGACGACGACGACGACGACGACGACGACGACGACGACGACGACGACGACGACGACGACGACGACAGACGAACGAACCCAGCAGCGCGAGCAACGACGCTGACGACTACGACAGAGGAGGAGGAGGAGGAGGAGGAGGAGAAGGAGGAGGAGGAGGAGGGGGAGGAGAAAGAGGAGGAGGAGCAGGAGGAGGAGAAGGAGCAGGACGAAGAGGAGGAAGAGGAGAAGGAGGAGGAAGAAAGAAGAAGACGGGGAGGAGAGGGTGGGGAAGGAACAGGAGGAAAGTGAGGAGGGAAACGGGGAATGGAAGGAAGGAGAAGGAGCAGGACGAAAGGGGCGACGTGGACGAGGAGGACCACGACGGGGAGGACAAGGTGGAGGTCAGTCCTCTAGGTTCAGCGCGTGGGGCAGGGCCCAGGACCAGCACCCAGCCGTCGGCAGCAAGTCCAGCAAGATGTGCGCATCATTCGAAGGCACCACGCTCAACGAAAGCGCGCCCAATGCTGCCGTCTCTTGAGTGGCCGGCTCGGGAAACCGTGAACCTAAAGATGCCTGCATCTGCCGTTTACATCGGCCGTCATCCGCTGACCTTCCGCCGGCGAAGTGGACGGGAGGGGGAAGGGGGACAGGAAAAAGCATGGAGCAGGATGGCAAGGAGCAAGGCAGGGGCAGGAGGAGGTGCCGAAGGGGGCTGGCGCCAGGGCAGGCGGGGGGCGGAAAGAAGTATGTTGCATCCTCGGGGGACCCTGTCTGTCCCCTCTCGGCCCTATCCGCGTTGAATCGGTGCCGATTCCATGTCGGACTCGTCGGATCTGTGTCGAATCCGTCGAAGCCACGCCAGATCCGCGTCGAGTCCGCATCGAGCCCGCGGCGGGCACAAGAAAAGACACCAAGATTTTGGGGGACAGGCGAGGCTTCCCGAAGATGCAACGCAAGCTGGCGCGAGGGCAGGAGGGGGGCGGAAGGAGGTGCAGCAGGGGGGCTGCACCGGACCCAGCTTCTGTTCCTGCCGCGGGCTTCTGACAGCCTTCCGCCAACTTCCGCCTCCTCCTCCCTCCGCCCTCCTCCTCCCTCCTCCTCCTCCTCCTCCTCCTCCTCCTCCTCCTCCTCCTCCTCCTCCTCCTTTTCCTCCACCTCCTTCCCCCCTCCAACGTATGGTGGTGGTGGTGGTGGCGGCAAACAGGCCCGTCAAGTCTCAAGTCACGCTTTGAGGATCCTGCAAGAGCCTGCAAGATCCTGCAGGATTCTGCACCCAAGCCGGGGTCGGTGCGCCCCTGGCCCCGCAGGATCCTGCAACGGTGCCCTGGCTGACCCCCGTTTGCATTGACCCCCGACTCTTGAGCCCAGAAACCCAGGCTACCAGCTCGCACTGGCCTGGCAGTACATGTCAGCATCGAATCGGGAGATCGGATCGGATCAGAACGTAGGTCGAGTCGGAGCGCATCGGCTCGCAGTCGGAATCGAATATAATCGGCGGCGCCAGGATGCACAACAGCGCCGTGCAGGCATCGGACCGCGTCGGATCGCCAGAAACTCGGAATCGAATCGGATCGGATCAGGCAGAGCCGCTATCGAATCGGATCGTTCGGATCGGAATGGGCCCTGCCAGGCCGCCAGATGGAAGGTACGAGGGAAGACTGCTGCTCGGATATCCTTGGTATGCTTTGGCATGGCCTGGCACAGCAGATACACACGTATGTCCAGAATGGTTGTCCAGTGAGTGCCCGAATCCGTGGGGCGGATACGACGTTTCCACGGGGCACCTGCGGTGACGATAACGACGACGACAATGACGGTGGTCGTCATCATCGTCATGGCCATCATGACTGCACGCTGGTCTCTCGCTGGACGTGGACCGATTTTTTACCTCTGGCTCCAAGCAAGCTCGCCAGCGGCACGACGGCCATCTGAGATGCAGCGCCCAGAGCTCGTCGGCAGCAGCCTTCTGCGCAGAACCTCCCTGGCTTCTCCTCCTCTATCCCTCTCTCTCTCTCTCTCTTTTTTTTCTCTCTCTCTCTCTCTCTTCTTTGTCCTTACATGTATATTATATATACACATGCATGCATATGCGAATGCGAATACAATAATATGCGAATGACGGGACCGAGTGAAGTGGGACTCCGTGCCCGGGATTGTGCTTGTCTGTTGTTTGTTGTTCGCTGATGGCTGTTCGATTCTCCCTTCGAGGCATAGCTATTATGTTTATCCCCCCTGGAGCCGACTCGGGGTTGTTCAATTACAGTGCCCCTCCCGGGGCTCGCACCTTGTTCTTTCAGGGGAAGGCTTGCGCCTCAGACTGGGTTGCTGGCCCTCGGTTTGCGCCAGCAGCGGCTCCCGCATGATACATCCCCACAATGTATGCAAAATCACGCTCTTGCGCGGGACATCTTTACATGTTTCTCGGGGGCGGAAAAGAGGGGGGTGATGACTAGGGGGGGGGATATCATGGCGTGGGCCATGATATTTCCCCAGATTTCATGGGGCCCCTTCTTATTTCATTACGTCCCTGGCCCTCCCGCTGGGCCGCGCACATGCCGCCGGTCATGATTTGCACCCCCCCCTCTTGGACACCCCCCTCTTGGCCTCTCCCGAGTTTCACTCGCGTGGGACTTCCTCGCAATGTATTCAATCGCCGCGCCCTCGACACTGAGGACTCAGGCTCTCGGGCTGAAGCTCCTCACGATTTTCCTGGGCGTCGCGCTATCGCTCGAGACGTCCTCGCGATTCATGCAGAACTGCTTCAACGACCCGCGCGCTCGACCTGGCCGTCCGGGCCCGCCCGCCCGACCCCCCCGTTGGTATCCGCCCTCCCGACCCGCCCGTGTACTTATGCCGCTTGTTTTCCTGCTGATCCCTCTCGTTCTCCATCCTTTTCCCTCCCCCTTGTCTCTTCCCTCCACCCTACCTTCTCCTGTTTTAAGAGCTGCAATTTACACGCGCCTGGGTAAGGAAGATATGCCCCCAAGGGGGACACAACCGAAGACAAGGAGGACAAGTATCAAGGGTTTGGGATATACGTATTGGGTCACACGAGCAGGCAAGACCGATGAATATTAAAATGAGTGCTGTTAGAATCTCAACGCAAACCATCACTCCTCATTTCTAAAGAATGATTATTGTTGATCCCCCCTCTGGTGCTCATTGAGTCCCACCAGCCCTCGGGGCGTCGGTGGTTTAGAGCGCTTCCTCGTCCAACCCTCCGTCTTCCCCTTCGGGGAGGGGCTTCTTCCCCTTCGGGGAGAATGCCAAATCATAATCATTGGTTTTCCTGAGGTTTGAGCCACATGTTGGCCACTTGGGGGGGCACTGATTAAGATGACTCCAAGAACGCCTGGGAGAGCCCAAGATGACCTCCAAGATGGCTCCAGATATCTCAAGATGTCTCATAATGGCTTCCTCTGTGTGCTGCCCACTTCCCTGATCGAGGCAATTCCTCTGGACATCGTTTCTGGATGGGCTGGTGGGGACTTTTTTTACGGCCGCAGGCGGAAGCGCCGGCGGCGGCAGGTCACGGTCGGGCTGCGGCCGTAACAAATTAGCCGGGCGCGCGCGGGGGCCGCGGATCAGGCGGCGATGCAAGCTGCAGCCCAGGGAGTCTGAAGGGGAACAGGCATCCAGGGAGCAAGGAGGACGCTGCCAAAATGGCGCGATGCACGCCCCTCAGTCAAGGGTCGTGTCGGTCCGACGACCTCCAGACAGTGGGTATCTTGACTCCGTGCAAGAAGAGTGTCAGAAGCCCAGGGTGTCTGCCGGGTATGAGCGAGACCGTAGGCGAGAGAGCTGACGCAGTCCTGCAGGAAGAAGGGACTCTGACAGCGCCAGCGAACCGTCGCAGCTTCAGAGTACGCATCAACGCGGCTGAAGAGGCACGACTGAAGTCAGTGACAACCGATGCACGTCGACCCTCAAACCAACTGCGGAAGAATGCGTTCGCACGCGAAAGATAAGGGCTGGTGGGGATTCGCGAAGCGTCCACAATTTTTCAATTGGAATGCCCCTCTTGGGTGCTCGCACCCTGTTTTTGTTAGGCTCTGGTTGGCCGCCTGGCACCCGAGCTACAATAACAACGGCTCCAGCCAGATACGTCCTCCCAACATATTCAGAATCGTGCTCTCGCGCGGGACTCCCTCACAATTTACAGCAGGATCGAGCTCTCGTGTGGTACGTCCTCGCAACTTATTGAAACGCCGCGCCCTCGACACTCAGGGATCACTCTCTCGCCCTGGACTTGATCATAATGTACATGTGAATTGCGCTATCACTCGAGACTTCCTGGCGATTCGTACGGACTGACGCTTAAGTGACCCGCCCGCTCGACCCGGCCGTCTGGCCAGCCCGCCCGACCCGCCCAATAAGGTCCTTCCGCCCGAACCGCCCGTTTGGTTCTGCCGCTAGCTTCCTGCTCCGAACTCGCCTCCTGCGAATCACTCTCGTGCTCCATCCTTCTCCGTCCCCGTTGTCCCTTCTTTCCTCCCTCCTGTCCCTTGTTTAGGAATACATACTCCAAAGGGGGGCACTACGATCGAAGGCGGAGACGGTGGGTATCGAGGGTCCGGGGTTCACATGTTGAGTGACACGCGAGCAGATTAGAGCGAACACTCTCAACAGGATGGTGGTTGAGTTTTCAAGTCTCAACAATAACTCATGTTGCTCCTCCTCTGGTGCCCAAATGATGTTTGACAGCTGAAGTGCCCCACCTGGGGCTCGCACCCAGTTTTTTTAGCACGGGAAAGTCTTGAGCCTCAGACTGGGATGCTTGCCCCTGGTTTACAAGAACAACGGCCCCCGCTTGATCCCCCCCCCAACAATTCATTCAAAATCAGCTCTCGCGCGGGTCTCCATCAAACTTTTTTCAGGTGTCGCGCTCTCTCGTGATATGTCCTCGCAATTCATTCAATCGCCGTGCCCCCAGCACTGAGGAATCGCGCTTTCACTTTGGATTTCCTGACGATTGACTTCGGAATCGCGGTTTCGCTAGAAACGTCCCCGCGACCCATGCGAAACTGACGCTTCACGACCCATCTGGTCGACCCGGCCGTGTGGGCCCGCCCGCCCGACCAACCCGTTAGGGTCCGTGTGGACAACCTGGTTGAGGCACGTGTCCCAGCAACTCGCATTGGCGGCGTCGATGGTCCACGCTCCACCAGGACGGAGACACGTGTCCACAATGCCGACCTGCGCCGGAGGCTGCGGCAAGTCGCCCTCCAGGGTGGCTGTGCGAAGGCCAGATCGACAGCGACGGACGTCGGGGGCGCGCGGCGATGGCGGCCGCAAGTGACCTGCAGCTACAAGTTAAGCAGGGCTGCCAGTGAGAGCGCGCGCACCTCCGAGTCCGCCAGCCAACCAGCCAGAGGCATCGGCGCCGGGGGCTGCTAGAGAGTGCAACAACGGTCTCGATGATAGCCCAGAGTGCCATTGAACAGCCCATCGTACCCCAGAGTGGAACCCGGGCCGTGCAGCTCAGAATTGGGAGGCCGGGATCTCGTCGATGTCTGGGCCGACCTCGGCAACATGTCGGCGGCGCTCCCGAGGTGCGGAAGGTGGCGGGCCGTTGTCCAGCGTACGTTTTGTCTGTCGCCACGAGTCCAGCTGGTTAGCGGAGAAGGGCTAGTCGTAGATCGGGGCGGCGCCCGCTGCCGCACTGGGGACGTTGGCGACATCCGGAGGCGCAGAGAACGGCTCCAGATCCCCCACAAGCTGAGAAAACCCACTCAGTGTCGCGGATGCCTGGGAAAGCAGGACTGGGATGGGTGGCCTCACCGATCTGGCAACAAGTGACCAGGAAGACCAGAGTCACGACTAGCCTTAGGTCGGGCATGTCCCCCTACAGGGGGATACGACGAATAAGGAGTTGTCAAACAATACCCCCACATGGTCAAAAACTTTCAAAAAATAGTACCCAGAGTATTTTTTGACTATTTTGGAATGTTCCCCCTGTAGGGGGGCAGACCCGACTTAAGACTAGCCGGGCAGGGCTCCGCACGCAGCCCCACACCCTGGGCGCAGGGGCGGCCGAGTGGGAATCTCGGCCGCGCTCGCGGGACAGAGGTGTGTCAAACCACCGCTGCCCAGCGCTTCTCGTGGCTTGCCTTAGGTCGGGCCTGTCCCCCTCCAAGGGGATGTTCGACGAAACATGAAAAATACTAAAAAGTAGCCCCCAAAAATGTTCAAAAATTGTAGAAAAATCGTCCCCATACTATTTTTAGACTAGTTCCGAATATTCCTCCTGTAGAGGGACAGGCCCGACTTAAGGCTTGCCGCGATCATGGCCCAGCTGGTGCCCGCGGCAGCGCTGCTCTCCTCCAGCTTCTTGTGCTTGCATTTGAGCCTGTCCAGGGTCTGGCGAAGGAAGCAAGCCTCAGAAACCAGAAAGGTCATTGCGATCCCAGGAGGAACTGGGCAGTGACGAGCACCTCCAGCCCGGGGCGGAGGCAAGGTCCGCGAGCGTGGATAGTACGCATGCCCCAGCCTGGCACCTCTGGTTGAGAAGGAAATGCCAGCGCCCGCACTCCTGCAGCTGGGGGGCTCGGCAGGCGGTCGAGGGAAGCCGCCTCCACAATGTGCGCGAAGGCGACGACGATGGCGTCTGCGACCTGGGCCGCAGCGAGCTTGTCCCGCGCAGCCTGCAACTGCAACTGCTGGTCGAGCATCCTTTCTGCTTCTCGAGCTCTGCAAGCTCGGGTGACGACGCTGCCAGAACTGCCGCGGCGGCGCGCTGCGGCTGCCTCCCTAAGATGAGCCGACGGCGGAGCAGCAGCCGCCGTGCTGGCTGCCGAACGGGCCGCCGCGATACGGGAGTCGAAGAGCAAGAGCGCCACGACTGCTGACACGGCAGCCCAGCGGCGCTGGGCGTGCTCGGAATGGGCAGCAGCAAGGTCCGTCTCGAGCCTGTCCAACTCCTCGGCGTGCTCCCGCAGCTGTGTGCGCAACGAGTCGGCAAAAACTGTGCGCTCGGCGCGCCGGCTGGCAGCCTTGGGATCACCAGCGTGGGCACGGTCGCGTTGGGCCTGCACCTGCTGCAGCTCCGACGGAGGGGCCTTCTTCCGGAGCCTGTCAAGTGCAGCCTGCTCGGCGAGTAGGCGTGTTTTGAGGGCCTTGGCCGCCTCGGAGTTGTCTGTGTCGCCCAGCACGGCGAGGGCAGCGCGAGCCTTCCCGATGTTCCCTTCGAGCCTGGCACGCTCGGCAACCGACGCGCAAGGCTGAGAGTCGGCCAAGCAGCGCCGGATGACGGTCTCGGCGTCCAGGGGGGGCAGCGCCGGCTGCGGGCAGCCGTCCATGCCCAGAGACTGTGCAAGCGGTGCAAGCGCAGGGCGCAGGTCTTTTAGATGCAAGAACATCACGGCCAGCAGCGTCAGGACCTGTGCTGGTTCTGGTGGCAAGGGGCGAGGCCTCGCCCGCGGCCGCAGGACCCTGGGCAGCAGGAGCAGCACCCGCGCCCGCGGAGCCGCCCGCGACTGCGACCCCCCGCTGCGCAGGGGCGGCTGCGCGGTGGGCAGCACGGCAAGCCCGGCGCGTCGAGGGGGCGGACCACCGGAACGCCCCGAGCTGCCAGCCGCGCGCCCGCCGGGGACGTGCCGCGCCTACCGCACGGGGCCCTGGCGGCCGCTGCGCCGCTGGAGGGCTCTTGGCGGGCGCCTTGCACCGCGCGCGTCCGGGACAGTGCTTGCGCGACGCGAGACTCTCGCGGCCTCAGTGCTGCCTGCACCATCCGCGAGAGCGATGCGCGGCCGTGGCCGCAGCAACCCCGCTTTGAAGCCTGCGCCGGGGGTGACCTAGAACTGCTGCCGCCGAGGGTGGAGACGCCTTGGGCCAGCTGCCGGAGCTGCCCAACGAGCCCACCACAGTCGGCGCCGCTGTGAGCCCTTTTCGATCCCGCAGGAAGTGCTTCCATACAACGCCTGCGCCGCAGCAGCCGCCGCCGTGCCCAACGGCGTCAGCAGCCCACGATCGGAGAAAGTGGAAAGAGATAGCCAGAGGCTGATCTTGCAAACGGCAAGGTCGCCTGTCGACCATGCGCGGGTGATCTCGAGCCAACTCCTCGGCAGCGCTCAAGCACGAAACGCCAAGGTCGCACGTTTCGTACTTGAGCCCATATGGCTACGGAACCCCCAACCCACAGATCCAGCTCCTCCTCCTCCCCTGCCCATCTTTCCCTTCCCTTCCCCTCTCCAACCGCAGACCTCTCATGATGGTGTGGATCCCACTGTGGCGACGAGGGCTGCATTCCCTCCTCATCCTGCGATCCTGCGTGGTCTTCTCATCCCCGTCCTACGACCATCTGCGGGCTGGCTCCTCCGTGGGAAACGAGGCCCTCGAGCCCCTCCCACCCGGCGGTCGCCGTGGGGAGCGAAAACCACGAGGCACAGGGAGGGAGACGGAACGGCCGAACGTCGGTCGCGGAGGGAGGTGGGGGCTGGCAAGTTCAATCCGCATCGGATGGGACATTCGGATCGGATCGGAGAGTGCGTCGGATCGGGCTGCATCGGCCCGGAGTGGACATCGGATCGGATCGGCTGCGCCAGGATGGACAACTGCAACTCACAAACATCGGGCCGCATCTGATCGCCAGAAGATCGAAATCGAATCGGGTCGAATCGGCTGAACTCGATATCGAATCGGATCGGAATGGGCCATGGGCTGGTGGCTGCTGGCGGCTGGCTGGGGCCCCCTCCTCGTCCTGCCCTCCCTCCAGTGCCGCCGCCTGCAGAGACTTTCGCAGGTCGGCCTCCTTCTTCAGGTTCTCCTCCATGCTCGCGACGTCGTCTCGCAACGCCTTCACCTGGATGCGATGTTGCATTGTTTCGGGCCCCTGGGCTCTCACAGATCGATCTGGCTTGCAACATGCAGCAGAAAGATGGGGTTGTGGGATCAAGTCGTGATTTTTCAGGATGTCCCATGTTTTTCGCAACGTCGGACCTCAGGGATGACTGAGTGAGTGAGCGCATCACTAAGCGATTGAGGATGGAGGGGGGCATTAGCAACATGATCAGGAGCAGGGCAATCTGTATGAACACTTCGCCTATGCTGGAAAACCGCATCGCGATGGCTGGCGAAGCGGAACACGCCATGTGGGATGGAATTCACCCAAGACGCTGTGAAACACGTCGGTCTAAGCACGACAAGCAACTGGTGCGCAAGAACAGCGTGCGTTTCCTCCTGCGGTTCGGATGCAGCGATCGGAGACCGTAGCCACTAACTGCGTGGACCTATTCTCATGCCATGTCCGTTCATCAACTTTGGGGTAGACCTCGGCGCGGGCAGCTCGAAACCGTGGTCCCACTGGAGGTGGGGTGGCCGTAAGACTCGTCTGTTGGTTTCTGGGTGCGCGGGAGAGTGAAGAGGCCCAGGGACACACAAATAAATAGACACAGATCCCAGGATTCGCCCCCACTTCCCATATTTTCACGTATTTCCTGGGGGTCGACGATCAATTGTGTCTGTGTTTTTTTCCCCTCCTGGGAGAGTGGGGCCAGGAAGCGATGGCCAGCGCATCCGGGCACCATGAGCACGTGCGCGGACAAGGGGATATGCCGGCGAACGCAGGAGGGCATGCCATCTGTGAGATTCCATGGCCCTGGCCAAGAGATCCAGGCGCCCTGAATTATCTCTCCCTCTCCCTAGGGGAACGAACAATGACACAAACATAAAAACACGCGGTCTCCGCGACCTAGATCGAAGGAGCGGCCCGAAAGCCAGAAAGCCTCTCCCGAATCCATTCTGGTACATATTGAAGCGTCTCAACTGTATTCGCCACGTGCCTCCTGGCGGTCCCCGCGACCTAGATCGAAGGAGCGGCCCGAAAGCCAGAAAGCACCTCCCGAATCCATTGTGGTGCTTTTCAAGCGTATTGACTGTATCTGCCGCGTGCCTCCTGGCGAGTGTTGTGCGGGTCAGTCCGCTCGGCCCTGTCATCCTTTATGAGGTTGAAGAAGTGGAGGAGGCGAGAGAGGAGCAGGAGGAGGCGGAGGATGAGGGAGGACGAGGAGGAGGCGGACGATGAGTAGGGAGCAGGAGGAGGGGCGGAGGAGGAGAGGAGACGGAGGAGGAGGAGGAGGAGGAGGAGGAGGAGGGAGAAGGAGGGCACATGAAGCATAGACGGGGGGGCCAGGGTGGGAGGAAGGGGTGGGAAGTGGGAGGTGGTAAACCCAGAGAGATATGGTATTCATAAGTTTACTGCCTTGACATGGATCTTGAGCCGTGCGCAGCGGATGTTCGAGACTTGAAGGTGCACTTGTGATTCAGCACGCGGCCGCCAGACTCGCGTTTACGTCTGTCGCTCAACATGTGGTCCTCGATTCTGCGATCCAAGTATTGCGCTGTCGTCGGCCGAAGCTTGCCCAACACGACCTGTGCGTCTCCCACTTCCAGCTGGGAGAACCGCCTCGCGGGGTTTGGCCAGCGTCCAGAAAGCGGCGGGGCTTCCCGGAAGCCCGCTGGACTTCTGAGACGCCCCCGTGGCTTCGGCGCAGGCTCGGAGAGCTGCTGAGGAGGCGGGAGGTCCTATGAACCTCCTCTTGCCATCGCTCGGAGGTCCGTTTCCTGTGCATTTGTCGGTTTCGTGCGTGTTTGTTTTGCTCGATGGTCCAGGATTAGGGAAACAACAAGTGACATAAACATAAAAACTCGGATTTCCGCGCGGATTTCTCGGATCGGCGCTGGGCCCCCCTGGCGGCGCCTCCGGCGCCGCCCCTGGCGCGCTCCGCGCGCCAGGGAGGGGCGTCCAACGCCGATCCGAGAAATCCGCGCGGACCTCCGAGCTTTTTTATATTTATGTCACTTGTTGTTCCCCTAAGGAGGGTCTTCGATGGCTCTCGCCGAGAAAAACATGCACATGTCCGAGCGATACCGAGCTCTCAAAAAATCCCCTGGCCCCCTGCCGTCGCCTGGAGCGCGCCGCCGCTCCCCTCCCCCCTCCAGCTGTTCGCTTGGGTCGGGCCTGTCCCC